ACGCTTAAAGCCTTTTATTTTATTAATAGAACTTTCAAATCTCACGTACAAATATAATTCTTTTTAAGAGCATCTAATCTACGCAGCCACCTTCTATGAAAGGTTCTGTTTAAACTAGGCCTCTTAGTAGCCAATTACAAATGATCATACTAATATTTGTAAGCTCCTATATAACTTCGTTGTAACTTATCTATAATTTCTCTCGGACATTGTTCTGGAATTGGCAATGTTGATTGATGTTCTATGAGTTCCATGCCGTCATAGCTCCCGGTGTTTAATATCTCATTGTATTCTTCTTCTTCCCTAGTTTCACCACTTGTTGTTTCCATAAATTTATATTTATCAAACATTGATCTAACATAAGAATATATGTTAGCTTGTCAGTCTTCTAGAGATGGTTGTTTATTTTCTTGAATTGCTAAATTCTCATAAATTTTACGAACAAGTCCATTTGCACCTCTTAATTTTAAAGATGGGTTAAGTATAGTAGAAATTAAATAAACTTGGGGGATAGAAAAAAAATACTTTTTAAATTTTGCAATCATTTCATTAATGGCCGGTGCATAAGTTGGATTAATTTTGCAATTATTTCATTAAGCTAGTTGCTGCAGTTGTGTTAGTACTTAGCAAAATCATTATCTAAGTTTATAGTTAAAACTTTATCAATGAGTCCATAAAAATCAACAATTTGTAGAATAATAGTTGCAATATATGTTCCACTGTGTTTTGAATCAACAAATTTATAACCAATAATATGTTTTTACATGTTCCAGTGATGATCAACCCAATGACATATAACAGTTAAATAATCACAACCATTAGGATTACGACCTATATCAGATGTGATAGACATTTTACAATCTAAGTGAAACAATACACAATGAATATACTGAAAATATTCGGTTTGAAGTTTAAAAACATCATTTCTAACGGTGGTTTTAGGAAAACCTTGAAAAGCAGGATTACAAGTTTCTTGTATATAATGCACAAAAAAAAAAATAGGACGCGGGACGGGACGGGATAGGACGGGATGGGATGAGACAGGACAGGCGGGACGGGACGAAACGGGACGGGACAAACGGGACGAAATGGCCATCCCGTCCCAACCCGTGTCCCGTTTAACATGTCCCCATCCCGTTTAGAATTAAGTGGAACGGGACGGAACGGAATGGGATGAGACGGGACAGGCGGGACGAAACGGGACGGGACAAACGGAACGACATGGCCATCCCGTCCCATCCCGTATCCCGTTTAACATGGGTCTATCCCGTTTAAAATTAAGTAAGACGGGACCAGGACGGGACGGCCCGTCCCTTTGGACAGCCTTACCTTGATATGGTAAAGCATTGCTTTTCGTTGGGTGTTTTCATAAAACTTGACATGCGGCAACTAGTTTAGAGCTCACAAGGGCTATTCATGTAAAGCTATTCATACTTAATGCATATAATGATATAAAGCACTTGTGATATTCTGTAGCTTGAATATTTCTCTTTTCAAATGTGAAAGCATAAATACAGAAGAATGTCTCTAAAGCCATGCCTTTCTGTTTCACTTTGTAAGGGGTCTTTTTGGTTGGGAAATAAGTTATCCCGTGATTAATTATTCCGGGATTAGTTATCTCATTCTTTTATGGAGATAAAAAAATATTACAATCCCGGGATAACTAATCCCGAGATTAGTTATATCACAATTTTATCCTAACCAAACATGTGATAAACTCATATCAAATTTAATTACGCAATTAATTATCCCTTATATTTCGTATCAAACCAGCCCTAAAGATTTACAAATAGGAGAGATGTTCAAGCTGGCTAGGAATGTCATTTAGTTTATTTTTTATACTGATGAAGTTAAGCAAATTATTACTTTCCAGCACCGGAACGAAATGAACCCAAATAGATCAGTATATATATATGCTTCACATAGTTGATCTCAATAGTTTAGGGTCGATGTGTTTTAGTTGATTGGTTGATGAAATAAAAAGACCATAAAAAATGATTTGGTATACTATGTCAGTGATGTCACACCTATTAAGCAATACATGTTGGACTATAAGCATTTCTCTAATATTCCAATTAAACAATGAACGTGACCAAAAAAAANACTTTGACCCTCTTAAATATTTTCTTGACAAATTAAGTTGTAAACTTTGTAGGAAGATACATTCATTCGTCATTCTACTTAGATTTTTACAGAAATTCAAATGGTATTTTATTAAGTAATACTATTATTCTACATTTTAATTCCTTTCTTGAAGATAATTTCAAGCGTTAGTTAAATAGAAATGAAACAGATTTTCTAATCTTCTAGATCTAACTTTTATTGGAAGCAAAAGAAAGCAAAATGTATAGTTATTTTTCTATTATATAGAAGAGCCATGCTTGATCGATCAAGGGTAGAATAGCCATTTAGCTCAGTAGAACTTTGCCACATGCCTTTTATTCCAATGCCTCATTTAGCTCCGTAGACTATTTTAGACAAGGGTAGAATAGTCAAACACAACATTGGTCTAGAAATATCCAATCATTCGTCTCTCGGTTTCAGAATGCTCCTTGCTTGCTTCTATGTTACTGCAATGATAGATTGACCTCATTGAAGCTTCAGCCAAAATTTGCAATAAGGTAATAGTCGTCAATTCTTCTAATACAGTCCATTTGTTAACATTTGTGGGAAGCTTTGGTTAAACATTCTCTGTACTAATCCCCTTCTGTCGGTCGTTTCAACTTAAAAACCAGGTGCGTATCTCTTTTTTATTTGTTTCCCATTCGGTATCATTTTTAATCCGCTTCTATAACGTTTGGAAATTTTATTTTGCAATTTTCTTTGTGGTTCAAGTATTTTTTTTTATTTCTACGCTGACCGCTGGGAGATCTTGGTTTTTTTTTTAAAAAAAAAAAATTTATTTTTGCACGGTTGGGTTTTATTGAATTGAATTTTCCTTGACACATGACGCAGCTCTTTTATTGCGCCTGAACAAAGTCAGGTTCTTGAATTGTTTTGATAGCCCTTTCCTTTTGTGTTGCTCTTTTTTTAATTTTGATTTCCGAAGTACATCAATTGCAATTATTTTAGTACAAAATTAGTAAACATATTATTGTTTAGTTAATAAAAGGTAAATTGATGACTAGAAATCGGGCGTGTTTGTTTCCTTACCTTCCAATAATGTGGAATTTTTTTTCATCTAATTGGAATTTCGCCCTTAAGAATCACCTTTTCATCTGGCAAGTTTCTTATTAGGTCTCTGTAACTTATCCTTTTGGTGCGGGAATAATAGGATAGAAAGTTTGCCCAATAAGTTGACCTTTTTGGAATTTCCGAGGATGAACTAGTGGCAAAAGAAATGTTACTTTTTGTATGTCTTTTTGCAAAAAATACCTCCTTGTTAATCCACTAATGAAGTTTCTTATCTTATCAAAAAGAAAAAAGGAGTAAAAAGAAGAAGTATTTCCTTAGAGGATTACTTATTGTGGCTATTATCTTTCTTATCTCCTTTTTCATTCTCAATGTTTTGTATCAGGTGGACCTTTTGTCTGAGCTCTAAAGAACCAAAATATAAGATTGAATTTCTTCCGTAAGATTCACCTTTTCATCGGGTAAGTTGCTTGTCATGTCTTTTACTTTTTGAAGTTCGATTAGACGCCTCTCATAAACTTTGTATGCCATTGAAAATTTAAGATTTTGATGCTTTTACATATGAAAGAAGTTATTGAAATAGCGTAGATCCATGTTTGTGGAAATTGGGACCTAATGTGACCTCTTAGTCTCGCTCACACAGGATCATCCAAGAGTTTCATTTCATTTGGATGAATCATTGGTCTTATTTTGTAAAATGAATTGGCATATTTAGATACATCATGTAGGCTCGACTTCTCTTTTTCTTTCATAAGAACCAAGTTCATGGTGCATGCCACAAGCAGTATTCATGCTTCATCATTGTTTAGTGTTCCTTAGATAAGACCACCAATTTATGCTTCAGTATTATCAAAAACGAAAAGCTCTAAAAAGCGTTCCAGGTCGATTGGGGCTTCAAGTGCAAAGCGTAACTGAAGTGCGGGCTTTAGTTAAAAAAGGCGCAATTAAGAGAAAAAAATAAAATACATATGTAATTCAAGAAAGAAGTAACAAACTCATTCCTAATGTCTTTGTCAACAACTAATATGCTTATTTGTTGATAATATTTGTTGTTTAGCACCGCTCGATTCAAGATAGAACTCATGGGAAATGAGGCGTATACCTTAGTGCTTTGCCTACATTGAAGCGCAACTTAAGCAAAGTGAAGCACCCTCCCTGAGCTTTTCTGAGCTTTAGTGCTTAAGCGCGCCTTAAATGAGTTTTTGACAACACATGCTTAAACTGTTTGTATACGATATACCTATCCGTTGTTTAACACCATTCAAATGAGACAACACTTAATGCTTAAATTGTTTTAGAACTTGTCCATTGTTTACTGTAAAACTTATAATTTTTTTTACATTTCTCCTTCTTTTGATACGTCTTTGACTTCCACAGTTAATACTTTTAAGGGGATTGGTTATTGTTGTAGTATTTTGACTTGGCTTATAATTTTGTGGTTAATTTTAATGTGCTATGTTAGAGTTTTGACACATAAAAGACAGTGAAGCCTGATACATAGGTTGCCACTTCATTTTCCGTATTTGAACTTAAGAATAAGAGGCATAATTAAAGAAAAGCCAGGAAAATGCCTTGATCTACACATGCTCAAATTGGATTAAAACTTTCTAATCCAATTTTATAAATATAAAGTTTCTTAGTTGATATTGTAGATCACCAGCCTAAGCAAATTAAGCATATTTGGCTGCATGTTCTTTTTATCTGGTAAGTAAAAGGAAAGCAACTATAAGCGAATCATTTTGCTAGATCTAGAAAAGCTACATTTGACCTAGAAATTGCCTAAGCTTTTAGTCGTCTCTATTTCATTCAACATTTGTTATATCCGCGTGCCAACTTTTCCATGGTAAAAAGTAGGAATAATTTTATTAAGTTGCGTCTCTTTGTTTTTCCTTAACAAAATCTTTTCCTCTTTCTTTCCCGTATTTCATACTGTAATATATATTCATAAATGTGTTAATTTCTAATTTTTTTTTCCTTCTAGCACAATCTCAGTATTCTTCAAAAATATTTCGAGGATTGTTAGGATTAGTTGGATGTAAGGATGGTGCTAACAACTTGGCATGCTAATGAAGATAAAATATGAAGGCTGAAGACATAGTTTTGTATTCTAGGCAAATACTGGTCTTAACAAAGTAAATTGGTCCATAAAAGAGCATTCTTAAAGGGTGTTGAAAAGCATTGTGAAGGTGAGTAATAAGAGAATGTATAATGAACTCACAACAAAAGAAGAATACTTAAGGGAGGATCCAAGTTTCGTGGACCATACCTTGATAACTAGAATAACAAACAATTTGTTAGAACAAAGAATTAATTTGAGAACACAAATATTTAGAATTTGAAGATGTAATTGGAAGGATTTACAACATCAAGGTAGTTGTAGGTATTTGTAGCAAGAAATGTTGCGACCACGGTGATAGCAAGGAGTGCCAAAAGGAAAACAAACAAGCTTAACCATTCCTGAACTTCTTGGTGAAAATTGGCAATACTAAGCCTCTTTGTAGCTAGAATAGTGATGCAGAGGAGTCAGAGTGGTCAATATTTGTGTGTGCGCGCTCTTTATTTTGTAGAAGTAATGTGGGGCTTGAATGCTTGATCCAAGAGCTACGCGTTACACAATTATATAGGGCTTTTTGAGGTCCCTTGGCAAATGGAAGGAACAATGTAACACCAAATATTGGATACCAAATTTGGAGCAGCTTTCCGATTGAGCCCACATGATGACCTAACTCACTTAAAGTGAATGTGCCTTTTTCGTTCAATGCTATGTCTTTCTCTTCTTAGTCATTTATACTTATAGTATAACATTTGTGTTATCATTTTGTTTGTAGTGCTTATTGACCACTTTATATGTAGTATATACAGATTAATTTATACCTTTTGCTTAATATCTGACTCAAATAGTCTGAAAGTTTATGTGGCTTGGAGCTGTAAATATCATTGTAGGTATCACTATTTCTCTAAAATTCTAGATTGGAATATGTGCTTATATAAATAAAATTTGAGCTTGGCTTTGTATATCTGAAGGGAAGCGGGATAAGTTGCCTTATAAAACTTGATCCTCTGATATATCTGAAGAGTAGAAATGTTGAAGGCTCGCAGATGATCTTAAGCCTCGATTATTTTTATTATTTACAAACCGCTTAGCTTATATAATGCCAAACATTAAACCCTTTACTTAGTTTTTGCCAAACTACTAAGTAGGAGTGAACCTGCTTAATTGCTGACAGGGAAATTATCTGTTACGTAAATCAGAAGATTGCTTATATGGCTCGTGATGATCAGTTTGAGCTTGAAACAACCAACACTAGCTCTCTACTCTAAAATATGTACTCGATGCTTTCTATGAAAGTGGACCATATTTGATCATTTATTGTACTTGATACTTTCTGTAAAAGTGGACCAAAGTAATTTCTGGAATTTATGAAATACTCTGCATGCAAATAAGCTGAGTTTGTTCCTTTTGATCTATTCTCACGAGTGTTGTGTCCTTTTCAGGTTTGTGATATTAATAGGTTACATATTTTGTTTTAGACCAGTGTAGGTAAAGATTGCAATGAGCAAGAATTTAAGATGTAGTCCAGTAAATTCCGCAGTTAATTTTCTCAGATGCTTATAACACTTCCAGCAAATATTTATAATTACTGACATGTTGTTCATTCTTGGAGAAAGTGCCTCTTTAGTAATGATTATGTTGAAGCTTTAAATAAACTTTTGAGAGAAAATAACGAATAACAAAAATAGGAAATTAAGTGTTCACGTAATATCAGAGGAGAATTATGTTTTAAAAATCCATCTCAAGCTGTTGTTTTCATAACTAAAGTAAGAATGAAAATAGACCTTGTTCAAATTGTTGGGCCGTGCTAGCACATGCTATCCACGTCTAGTTATTAAATAAGCCCTAAAATTCATACATCACATGGGCAAGCAAAGGAGCAAGCATCGAACACACATTGTTTTTAGCTCTTGTTAGTTTTGTAAACATTACTACAAAATCCCATTACAGGAGATTTAATGGATTACAAATGTGAAATAAAAGATGATTCACTGGGCTCATATTTCATTATATTCCCTTATATTATAGTTCATGTTTGATGGCTTAAATAAAAACATATGTATCATTCCTTCATGAGTGTAAGAATGCTTGAATTTTTCTTTTACATAATTAATAAAAAAGTTAAATAGTATTTAATCTGAACGATATATATTGAAACTCGTAATACAATGATTTGAATTGTAATATATTATTGACGACTCTTAAAATTATGCTTGAAAAATGAACCATCTTCTTACTACGTTAAAAAAATTCAATTAGTTTATGATGAATTTTAACCATAGTTACCAATTAGTTTATGATGAATTCTAACCATATTTACTTGGACAAATAGAAAGGAGCAATTCTAAATTGAGACGACGCCGTAAGTCTTCTAAATACTTGAATTCTTGACTTTTTAGCAGTCTTCCCCTGTTTCCACAAATTTACGTAACTCTGCCATTCCAAAACGGCCCCGCGAAGAAACCAAAAACAGAAACAACACACCGAAAACGAGACTGAAAAATGGAGTAAAAATGCCTCTGCAACAATTCACCCGAACAACAAATCAACATTCATCAAAGGTTATAAACCATTTTCTCTTTCACCAAATCCCATTCTTTTTCCCAAAAAAAAAAAAAACTTTTTAAACCCTCCTGAAATCAAATTCCAGCATAGGGACAATTTGGATTTTCAGTTTCTCACATTCTTTGATCAGATCGCCATTGTAATGTAAACAACAAACATAATTACGTAAAGGGTCTCTTAATAACCAAAACTCTTTGAATAATTCGATGTCTTGGGGATTGGGTTGGAAGCGGTCATCAGATGTATTTCACCTCACATTAAGCTATGGTGAAGACGAGGCATTAGATGAGTCCACACCCACGTCATCAAGATCGTCATCATCGGCATCGACGTTCTTAGGATCATCCCCGTCGGCGGCGGCGGCGGAGGGTCAAGAAGAGAATAATATTAATAACCAAGAAGAGGAGTTATTAGGGTTTAGGGTGGAACTAGATTGGAATGTGGGGGATGATGAGGATCAAGTGGCTTTAAAATTGCAGTCACAGGTTATGGTGGCATTGCCTTCACCGCAAGACACTGTGGAAATTGAATTCAAGGAGAAAAATGAAAATGAAAATGGAAACGATGATGTGGAGGAGGATATAACAGGTGAGGTGGCTGTGGAAATGAGGGTGGTGAAAAGGAGAGAGCCATTGAAAGGTGTGATGATGTGGCGGGTGGGTAGTTCGAGCCAGCAGAGTGATGGGATGGGGGTGTTGTCGAGGTTGATGAGGTCGAATTTCGCCAATAGGGTCGGGTTAGGAGGAAGTGGGGAAGGCGTGCCCGTGGGGTGTGCTGATCATTGGAAGAGTGTTACTGTTGTTAGTCTATGTGGTCTTGGACTAATGGTGAGTGGTTCTTCGTTTAACATTAGTTCGTCTTTTTTAGTGTTTATAAATTTGCGTTTATGTTTTGATGAGTGTTTTTGAGTTATTTATTTGTATTATGTTCTTGCCAAGCCATAATAATTGGTCCTAACTCCTAAAAGACAAACTATTGAATATCGGGAAGAGAAGGGTCCAAGTGGAGCAGAATTAATTGCTAGGATCATGTAGCCAATTCCTACTAGTTTGGAGTTAGTTGAATTGTTGTTGTCGATATGAAAGTGTAATTCAAGATAAGGAACTTTTAACTTCAAAAAAGCATTACTTATATGTACTGGAATCCTTTTCTTTTATTTTTCTGATTCTAAGGGAATGGTAGGATAGCAGAAACTGATACTACTGATAGTGTTCATGATTGAAGCCGATGTAACTATTGTTTTTAATTTCTAGAATGGTTGTATTGAGAGGCAGTTTGCTATCAATTGGGTCACCCCATCATTTTATATGTTCCAGGTGCTGCCAGTAGAGATAACCCAGCTGCCTCTTCTCGAAAGGCTATATCTTGATAACAATAAGCTATCAAATTTGCCACCTGAGCTTGGTGAACTGAAATGTTTGAAAGTTCTTGCCGTGGACTACAACATGTTAGTCTCTGTCCCTGGTAAGCTTGAAAGTTTCACATAAAACTAACAGAGTATGATGTAGACGGTTGTGAACAGTATATTTGTTTGAATTACATCTTACTCTGTTCATAAGGAGTTAGAATACAAGAACAGATGATTCATTCCTTACTTATATCATTCTTTGACATGGTTGGATATGATGAACAGTTGAACTAAGAGAGTGCATTGGGCTAGTTGAATTATCGCTAGAACATAACAAGGTGGTCCGACCTCTTCTCGATTTCAGGTCTCTGTATTTAGACTTATGATTGGCGAATTCTCCGTTTCTACTTGATTTCTTAGTCAAATATTGTGTCATTCTGTGCTTGAGGTCTAATATTTGAATAACTTAATTACAGGGCAATGACAAAGTTACGTGTTTTGAGGCTTTTTGGTAATCCTCTTGAATTTCTTCCTGATATTTTGCCACTCCAGAAGGTTCGCCACTTATCTCTTGCAAACATAAGGGTTGTGGCAGATGATCAGTTGCGATCAGTGAATGTGCAGATAGAGGTAATCATCACACTCTTTTTGAACTTTGAGTTGTTTCTCTTATCTGGTTGCCTTATGAAGTTGAAGAACTCTCCCTTTTTTTTTTTTGGCTGAACTGCAGACGGAGAATAATTCTTACTTTATTGCATCTCGGCATAAATTGAGTGCCTTCTTCTCTCTTATATTCCGTTTCTCTTCTTGTCATCATCCCCTGCTAGCTTCCGCCCTGGCAAAAATAATGCAAGATGAGGGGAATCGTGTAGTTGTTGGGAAAGATGAGAACGCTGTAAGGCAACTCATAAGTATGATCAGTAGCGACAATCAGCATGTGGTATGGCGCCTTATACTCTGTAGGACGCTTTACCTAAATTCCTAAGCAGTTAATGCATAAAATTGTGTTTTTGCTCAGGTAGAACAAGCTTGCTCCGCACTTTCTTCTCTCGCCACAGACGTGTCTGTGGCAATGCAGTTAATGAAATCAGATATTATGCAACCCATAGAAAGAGTACTAAAATCTGCTGGTCCTGAGGAAGTCATCTCTGTGTTGCAAGTTTTGGGCAAATTGGCGTTTGCATCAGATATTGTATCTCAAAAGCTGCTGACAAAGGACATATTGAGATCATTGAAACTTTTGTGTGCTCACAGAAATCCAGAGGCAAGCCTTTGTTTTTCTCTTTTCCTGTGTGGCGATTCAGTTAAAAGAAATTGTTTTCCTGTTTCTGTTGAGTGGTCTTTGAAATTGATTATTTTGTCCCCTTAGGTGCAAAGACTAGCTTTATTTGCAGTTGGTAACTTAGCATTCTGCTTGGAAAATCGTCGCATTCTAGTTACTTCAGAAAGTTTACGGGAACTGCTATTGCGGTTGACAGTTGCATCAGAGCCACAAGTCAGTAAGGCTGCGGCTCGCGCTTTGGCAATTCTAGGTTGGTTTCTGTATATTTGTTATGGTTCAGCTATTCTTCAACCTGGCCTTCTGAGTACATACTCTATCTGATTGTAGGGGAGAATGAGATTCTACGGCGTGCTATAAGAGGGAGACAGGTCCCAAAGCAAGGGTTGCGCATACTTTCAATGGATGGTGGTGGCATGAAAGGGCTGGCAACTGTGAGAATCCTTAAGGAGATTGAGAAAGGTACTGGGAAGCAGATACATGAACTATTTGACCTCATTTGTGGCACGTCAACTGGTGGTATGCTTGCTGTTGCTCTTGGGATCAAACTGATGTCTTTGGAAAAATGTGAAGAAATATACAAAAAACTTGGTGAGTTTCTGCTCTAAAAGAAGCTCAACTTCGCTGTGTCCTTTTCCGTGTTCTCAAACTTGCTGTAGATTGCTTGACATAGTAGCAGCACTGATGCATGTTCTATCTTGTTCTCTGCCTCTCGAAATTCTCTTACAGGCAAACTTGTGTTTGCTGAACCTGTTCCCAAGGACAATGAAGCAGCAACATGGAGAGAAAAGTTGGATCAACTCTACAAGAGCTCATCTCAGAGTTTCAGGGTTGTTGTACATGGATCTAAAGTATGTGATGCCATAAGTTATTTTTTTTAGTTAATTTACAACTACTCTTGCCATGCAACTTATGTTTTGTGTATTTTTATAATAGGGTTCTCCAAAATATTAGAGAACTTTTACATAAAGTAGTTATTTGTTAACTTTAGGAATTCATATAGTTTAAGAAAGTCAAAAAGTTTTTCTATGCGGTAATATTTCCTGCATCTTGTACACTTGTGAATCTTTTAGAACTGATCTAGTCGTTTCGTCCACTGGCATAAATATGATAAGTAAGTTGAGCTAACTTTTTATCCATTTCCAATCATGCTATGCTGGTGAAAAGAAAAAGAGGGAGTTAAGGAGTTTTGCTTCTACTGATTTTACGAACTATTCAAAATGAACAGGCCTAATACACAAAATGGCACCTCAACTTGCAATGACAGCCTTGCCAAATAAACACTTCTAGTTGGTTAAAACACATGTTTTTGTTTTTTGATAACCGTGGTTCGGGTCAGCTTGCGCTCACCTCGGCTAACTCCACGGGGTACCTGCTACCTTCCACCAACACAGGTACCTGGTAACTCTGTCCACCAAGAAGGCTTTGGCAGATGGGAAGAAATCACCTAGTGGTTTTGTTTCTGCTAGGATTTGAACCTGGGACCTCTTGGTGCTTCACCCACTTCATTGACCTCTAGACCGCAACCTTTGATGCCGATTGAAACACATGTTTTAAGCACCTCTACTTGGTTTATCAAAATGCGCGTTCGTCAAATGCACATAGGTGGCTAACACAAATGCCCAACTTTATGACACGTAACTGGCACATCAAGTGTGCAAACTTGGCTAAGACTATCCCACTTAACAACACATACCCTTCTATTAACCAGAAGAGTGGAAGAATTCATTTGGATTCCATTCCAAAAAATCCAAATGGAACCAATCTGCTCAATTACCTAATGGCTTTAGTTCGAGAGCGCTGACAGCCCAATCTCCAGCTTCAATTGCCGGATAATGCGGTCTCTTCCTCTCTACCTCATACGTCTCCCTCCCTCTTTCATCTCCACCACTAACTTTTTTTTTTGAGAATGATCTCCACCACTAACTCCAACACCAAAACCACCACTAACATCGTCATTTCATAACTTGAAAAGCTGAAGGTCCTTGGACAAGGAAATGGTGGACCTATGTACAAAAACTGCCACAAGTGCAGTTCAGCAATCTGTGCGCTCATAGTTGTCCATGGTGAAAGTGACCGCAGCTCACAGGAAAACCTTCGAAAATCACGCACAACCTTCAATAATGGAAGGGATAAGGGTCAAGCGCCAGTGAAATTGCCGCTCCAGTGGGAGGACAGAGAAGGGGATGGGTTAAGGGGAAAAGGGATCGAGTTTCCAATCTTGTGCCAATTATGAGCTTTGCTTCTCTGATCTAGTTGTCAATCTTGGTATGGATGTAGCTTTGGGGGAGTGGCCAGGGTGGGGGAAAGGTGCGTCCTTCTTAAAGTATCTTGAAAAGCTGAGAAAAATATCACTGTTGGTGGAAGCAAAATCAGAAATTGGAGATCAACAATATGGAAGAGATGGGAGAAGACATGGGTAAGTAGGAGCATTTTCATATATTCACGCTTCTTATATGCGTGATTCACATGCTCTCTAGCCACATAAGCTAAATCAATGTCACGTAAGTATGGTCAAATGTTAGAAGTGTTTCTTATGTGAAGTTTAAACAAGTAGAGGTGTTAAATTGGAATAAGTCTAAGTTAGAGGGTTCGCTATGTAAAGCAGTTGAAGTTGACGTTCCATTTTGTGTATTAATCCAAAAATATATATGATTTTACAAAGATGAAACCTCAAATTCCATACCCTTGGAATAAGGAAAAGTCCCCTCTTTATGCACTATATTTGAGCAACTGAGCATTGCCAGCATCGGCATTAATTGGTTATAACCGAAAAACCGACTGAACCAAATTTTCTTGGTTTGGGCTTTTGGTTGGTTTTTGATTTGGTGCTTGAAAAATCAGTTGATTGGTTCAGTTTTCTGTGTTCGAAATTCAATGTTTCGTACCTGAAAAACCAAAATGAGCAGATATAGTAATATAGGGTTTTCTTGGATACTGATGCAGCTATGCTGTAACTTGTAATTTTTTGGGTACCTTCTTGGTACTCCTTTAATGAAACCTTTACCTTATCAAAAAAAAAGAAGAAGTATTTCTTGGATATTTTGTTAAATTTGCTATAATAAGGCTGCCTCAAGCCATATCTGTTTATCTCTTGGGAAAAGTTTCAGAGGCCCAAGGTTCATTTCTCACCAACTTTGTTCTGATGCACGGACATATCTCTAATCTAACGTTCTTACATTCTAATACTTCCTCAAAATTTAAGGTGCTAAAGACAGCTCGAGTATTCAATAGTAAAAGCTACGCTGAAAGTGCACCAGAATAGTCGTGGAATAGTGTCTGAACATCAGTGGAATAGTAGCCAGAACATTGGCCAAAGTAGCCTGTATCGTGATGGAACAGTGTCGGAACTATTACCTAAAAGAGGCACGGTGTTGCTGAAACGGTCACTGAAAGAATTGTTCTGGTAAGATCAGGGAAAATAGATGGTGTTGCTGGAATGGTCCCTGAAAATGTGTGGTGCCACTGGAGAAGTCTTTCAGAAAAGAGTTGGAATAGTGAAATTGGGGAAGAGAATGGACAAATTTGCCGAGCATTAGCAAAAATAAGTTATCTCAGATGAAACTCATTGGCGTTGATACCATGTGAGAAATAAGACGAGATTGGAGAATACATGAGACAAGTGTCTTACGCCTAGGAGGTTTTGTAGATGGTTAATAACTAATTAATAAACATATACTTTCATCTGATGTGGGACAATATATCTAGTTTAACAGTTCAACTGATGCAACTTTGTAGTTTTTACACATCTACCTACGATTTTTTTTCCTCGTGCTTGAAATGCTGCTGAATAAGAGGGACCTTGCAACTTTGAAATCGTAATTGATCCTCTATCTTCTTCCAGCACAGTGCAGATCAGTTTGAGAGATTGTTAAAGGAGATGTGTGCTGACGAGGATGGGGATCTTCTGATAGAGTCAGCAGTTAAAAGGATTCCTAAAGTTTTTGTGGTATCAACTCTGGTCAGTGCGACACCAGCTCAACCCTTTATTTTCCGCAACTATCAGGTTATTACTGAATCCTCATATGACTCAATACTTAGACCTGATCTCTATTATTCGGTTTGCCTGAGTAATGTTTACTAGTTCTGCTTATATTATTTCCTTTCTGTTAGTTTGTTATTGAACCTTTTTGTTGGGAAAGTGCAGTACCCTCCTGGGACACCAGAAATTCCCCTTGCGGTCACTGAGAATTTGGCTACTGCTGGCCAAGGAGCAGTAAGTGATCCAATTCAAGTTGAACATAAGCGAAATGCTTTCATGGGAAGCTGTAAGCATAGGATATGGCAAGCCATAAGAGCATCATCTGCTGCACCTTATTATCTTGATGATTACTCTGATGGTATATTCTTGCATGTGCTTAAAAATTTAACTTATGGCAAATCCTCACGAGCTGTTTTTCTCTGGATGCATGTCATTGTCATCTTTCCTGACTGTGCTGTTTGTTTAATTTCAGATGTATACCGCTGGCAGGATGGTGCAATTGTTGCCAACAATCCTACCATTTTTGCCATACGAGAAGCACAACTATTATGGCCAGATGCACGGATTGACTGCTTAGTCTCAATTGGTTGCGGTTCTGTTCCCATGAAGGTATACTGTTGCTTAGCGAATGCTTGCCTATTATGATCCAAACCACCACTGTTTTGCTTTTTACTGGCTTAAAAAGGTTCTGACATGCTATTGAAACTTGATGTATTCATGAACTGCATATGCTTGCCTGTGCTATCCATATATTTAGATTGGGGAATCTGGAAATGCACCTTTGATGGAGGTCTTAACTAAAATCATGATTATGTGATACTCATTAAATTTTAGCGTAATTGGGCAATTTGAGACAGTTCTTAACTAATATCTTGATTATGTGATACTCATAAAATTTTATTGTAATTAGTAACTTTAGTCAGCTGCAGATTCTTTTATTGTTCTTCTTAATATGCCATGATGTCAGCAAGTACTTTCACTAACTGATAATTTCTTTCTCTTATGGTGTTCCCTGAATCATAGCATATTTCTACAATATTCATATCTTCTGCTGCTAATTTTGGAGTTGAATTCACAGTTGGTTACTTTTAAGAGAAATAGTAAAATCATTGAAATCTTATTGCCAAGGTTTGAAGTTTACTCTCCATTGCTACTGGAAGTTTTGATAAAATCAAGATAAAATTTACTTCAAGCTATTTTACTTGGGTGTTCAATTTATAGGGGTTTCTGCTATTTTCCCTGCTATGTTAGGTCCGCAAAGGTGGGTGGCGTTACCTTGATACTGGCCAAGTGTTGATAGAGAGTGCATGCTCAGTTGACCGGGTGGAGGAAGCTTTAAGTACATTGCTTCCACTGCTTCCTGATGTGCACTATTTTCGGTTCAATCCAGGTGAAGTTACTTTACATGTTGCCTGAGGTGAATATTAAAAGCAAAAGATTGCTTTCTTTCCTTTTCTGAAACCTTCTTTTCCTAATTCTGTTGTATCTGAATTTTTGGCATTTCATTAACAGTTCCATGTTTTAAAAATCACCCAGAACAAAAGAAAATGGGTTATTAGTATGATCTAGTCTTGTGCCATGGTGATATTGATTTTTGGTTTTCTTTTCACATTCTTAACATGCCTTCTATATATCTGGGATGCAGTTGATGACCGATGTGGTATGGAGCTAGATGAGACGGACCCTGCTGTCTGGTTAAAGTTAGAGGCCGCAACAGATGAGTACATTCAAAACGCCTCTACTGCTTTCAAGAATATTTGTGAAAGATTGTTAGAGAGGCCACATGATGAGAAATTTTCAGATAATTTCAAGTCCCATCAGTTTCTCAAATCGAAGAATTCTAAAGCTGGTATGTGCTGAATCATATTTGATTGATTGCCATGATATTCTTTTGTCTTAGATGGATCGACCTTTGAAGGATTCTATTATTTTTTTCAGATGAGAGCAGTCCTTCTTTAGGTTGGAGGCGGAGCGTGCTACTTGTCGAGGCCTCAAATAGTGCAGATGCTGGAAGAGTCTTTCATCATGCTCGCTCACTTGAGTCATTTTGTGCTCATAATGGAATAAAACTCAGTCTTTTCAGTGGCATATCAGGCACGCAGAAAGCAACTCCCGGATCAACTTTTCCGACACCTTTTGCTTCACCATTGTTCACTGGGAGCTTCCCTTCAAGCCCTCTCTTATACAGTCCTGATATTGGGGCTCATAGGGTTGGTAGAATTGATTTAGTTCCACCACTAAGCTTGGATGGATTACAATCTGCGAAAACAACTGCTTCACCACCTGAGTCTCCTCGAAAGCGTCGACAGCTTTCGTTGCCTTTGCAATCTTTGTATGAGAAGCTAAAGAATTCACCTCAGGTTGGAGTTGTGCACTTGGCTCTGCAAAATGATACATCTGGCTCTGTACTGAGGTTAGATATTCCTTATTTTATGGTTACTGGAAATGTTGTTTGTCGTCCTAATGTCATCTACTTCTACGAGGTAGTTGGCAGAATGATGTATTCGTGGTTGCCGAACCTGGAGAACTAGCCGATAAGTTTCTGCAGAGTGTCAAGTTTAGCTTGCTGTCAATGATGCGGGGCCGCCGGAGAAAGTATGCATCAGTTATCACGGATATCTCAACCGTTGCTGATCTTGTTAAATGTAGGCCATGCTTCCAAATAGGTGGTGTAGTCCACCGTTATATTGGGCGTCAGACGCAGGTATGCCTCTATGTTATGCCGGCCATCCTTTATTTTGATAAATACCTTTGCTTTTGGAAACTAAGAATTTATGAATTTCCTATTTTGTCTTCTGAAGGTCATGGAAGATGACCAAGAAATTGGTGCCTATATGTTTCGTAGGACCGTTCCTTCAATGCATTTAACCTCAGAAGATATTCGGTGGATGGTATTCTCTCTGATCATTTATTGATATTCAGTGTTGCATATTCTTTTCATTGCAAGATTATGTATGTGAGAAGGAATTTATCTCTTCGCAATGACGTTATATGGTTGGCATCATTTGATTGAAGTAGTCACGACTCACCACCAATCAGGTGGGTTCTATATATGACAACTGAACTTACTTGCTTGGGTTCAAGTATCCATGGCAAGGATAAGCCCTTCAGCACTCAGAGCTCGCAGGGGACTTTTGCTTCGGCCCTGACATGGGAGCAGTGAGGTCTTCTGCAGATAAAGCTCTGTAGTGCTGATACTCCCTAGTGGAGACATGCATCATACTTCATCTGCATCATTCCAATATCTGCACTTGAGTTTGTAATGACTGGTTTATTTCTGTCTCGGGTTTGAGGACAAAAAGGTCTGTTCATTATACTTTTCTTTTCTTGTGACCTATTACTCTATGCATACACATTCATCCAAGAAAATAAAAGATGAATAAGAAAGGAGGCAACACTAACTCTTTTAATATTTGTTAAACCTTCCAGATTGGAGCATGGAGGGAGAGAATTATAATCTTCACTGGTTTCTATGGCCCTACCCAACCTCTAATCAAGGCTTTTCTAGATTCAGGAGCTAAGGCTGTTATATGTCCTTCCACTGAGCCTGATGAAGCGCAGATGTCTACATTTCACGGGTCAGGTGATTTTAATTCTTTTGATAATGGGAAGTTTGAAATTGGCGAAGAAGAAGGAGAGGATGATGATACTGAACCTTCTAGTCCAGCAAGTGATTGGGAAGATAGTGAACCAGAGAAAAGTGAAGGACGCTCTCAGTTCTTTTGGGATGATGATGAGGGGGAGTTGTCCCAGTTCATATGTCAGTTCTATGAGTCTCTTTTTCAGGGTGGTTCAAAGATAGATGATGCATTACAACATGCTCGTGCCTCACATCGGAGCCTAAGATATTCACGCCATCTTCCAAGCGTACCATAGTTCATTGGTTCTCTCTGACCTGGATAGTCCCAAGGGAGGCGCGAGTCAGCTAATGCTTATGCTGACTGCATGTTGTTGCTTGAGTAACGGGCATTTGCATGGTCTCCTCATTATTCCATACTTTGTAGAGAAGAATTATACTTGTACAAGCAAATTAAAGTAAAAGGATAGAAAGAAGCAAGCGTGGCGAGAGAAAAAAACAGTAGAAATGAGTAATAATAATTTAAAGAAGCGAGATAAAAATTCAATTTTGAGGCTCTGAACTAATTGTTATGTTCTTAGTCATTGATGGATGTTTTTGTTTTTCTTGTATGGCCCAGTTTTGTAGATTCTTCCTTATAAAGTTACTTTCAGATTTACAAAGTTTTTGTATCCCAATAAGTAACATGTACAGTGAAATGAATGTAATGAATAAAACAGCGAATTTTTATTACCATCTTAGTGGAGGTTATCTATTTATTTTCTTTTTCTTGTGAAAAACAGATTCATTTCTTTGTTGTTTCTGCGGGCAATTTCAATTTGTATACAAGGAATCCATGCACCTAAGCTCTTATGGCAATCTATGAAAATAGAGAACATAAGAAGGTTGTTCAGCATTTTATTACAATGGTCATGTATGTAATAAGGTAATCGTCTCTCTAGCTTAGTAAGCAGCATTTCAATCTTAGGTAAACGTCTGCTTTTAAATTTATCGAGGCGGCGTAAGCTTGATAATCTTTTCGGACTATAAGGTAAGAAGTGAGTTTAACACCAACTAATTATTATTAATGAGTACATTTCATTGTCACTTTCTCCGATTCGGTAGAAACAGAGTAGTAAATTCATTTCAGCTGATTCATAGTTTAGCCACCCTTGTTGATATTCCTGATTATGCCAAGAAACTAGCGACCCGAATATCAAACTGCAATAATCTAGAGCAGCTCGACCAAATTTATGCCCACATAATCCGAAATCACTTCTTGGAGTTGTACCCTGCACAATTTCACTGGAACAACATTATCAGATCATATACTAGGCTTCACTCCCCCAGCAAGGCTCTACATGTCTACATCACTATGTCTAGAGCTGGTGTTCCTCCTGATACTTTCACCCTACCCATTGTTTTAAAAGCTATTGTTCTGAATTATGTTGTTATGGCACGGCAGCTCCATGGGGTTGCAGTAAAGCACGCTTTAGACACTAATATGTATTGTGAGAGTGGCTTCATTAGTCTGTATTCAAAGGGTGGTGACTTTGAGAATGCTCGTAAGGTGTTTGAACAAAATACTGAAAGAAAGTTGGGGTCTTGGAATGCTATTATAGCAGGGTTGTCACAAGGTGGGCGTGCTAAAGAAGCGATACAAATGTTCTTGGAGTTGAGAGAGAGTGGGTTACAGCCTGATGATGTAACCATGGTTAGTGTGACATCCGCGTGTGGTGCTCTTGGAGACTTGGATTTGGCTTCTCAATTGCATAAATGCGTTTTTCAAGCAAAAGCAATGGAAAAGTCTGATCTTTTGATGATGAATTCTCTTATTGATATGTACGGTAAATGTGGGAAGATGGATCTTGCTTATAGGGTGTTATCAAGTATGAAAGAAAGAAATGTATCCTCGTGGACTTCTATGATTGTTGGTTATGCGATGCATGGGTATGTTAGAGATGCGCTTGAATGCTTCCGTTGCATGAGGGAGGCAGGTGTTAGGCCTAACCATGTGACATTTGTCGGGGTGTTGAGCGCTTGTGTACATGGTGGAATGGTGCAAGAAGGAAAGTTTTATTTCAGCATGATGAAAAATGAATATGGTATTGCACCCATGTTGCAGCATTATGGGTGCGTGGTGGATTTGCTTGGCAGGGCTGGGTTGCTCGAGGAGGCAAGAGGGACGATTGAAGGGATGCCAATGAAAGCAAATGTTGTGATTTGGGGGTGCCTGATGGGGGCTTGTGAGATGCATGGGCATGTGAAAATGGGAGAATGGGTGGCTAAGCACCTGCAACAGTTAGAACCATGGAACGACGGGGTGTATGTGGTATTGTCCAACATTTATGCCAGTAATGGCATGTGGGAAGAGGTAAGGAGGATGAGAGCAATTATGAAGGAGAAAAAACTTGCCAAGATTCCTGCTTATAGCTTGTCAACAAGTTCCGATTGAGAGTTGAAGGTGGACCTGCCAAAGATAAAGGATCAGAAGCATTGCTCTCTCTTATAGGAGTGCACAAGATGGTTGCCATATGCTGCACCTCACAGAAGTGGTTCTTATAGGAGCAATATATATCGCAGATTTTTTCTTAAGATGTTACTTTCTTATTTACTAAGGTTTTGTATCCCAATAAGTAACATGTAAATGAAATGAATTTAGTGGATTAAACAGGGGACTTTTTCTTCCCACCCTTCTCCAACATGACATCAGAATCTAGTGTTCTCAAGTGCTCCGTGTGATGGTCAATGAAATGGTGAAAACTCTGTATCGGCCGAGTAATCAAAGTGCAAAATTGGTCCTGGTACCACCTTTATCAAAAAAGAAAATAGAGACATTAGAAATCGGTCCAGCATTTTATATTTATAAGAATACTTGCTTGGTAATGATCTCTTTAGGTTAGGTAAGCATTGCAATCTTAGGTAAAGTCGCTTTAAGTTATTGTAGGAAAACTAGGTTTAGTGCCTATTGTTTTTTGTTTAAAAATGCATATTTAGGTTGTATAAGTACATCAATCAAATAGCCAAGGAAAGAGATAAGGTTATTTTAAATTTATTGAGGCGGCAATGGCATAGGCACGATAATCTTTTCGGACTTTAGCAATACCCGGTAAGAAGTTTAACACCAAATATTAATTATGATTTATGTGTATAATAGCAAGCAGATCACATTCGAATTATCCTATGATTATTTGCAAAGCAAAAGATTAAAAAAACCTGAAAATTGATTGCTGAGGACCACAGGCATGATCTGCTGACATAGAGATGATTAAGTTCATTTTTAGCATTAAATTAATAAGAAAACAAAAGAAGAAAGGGTCAAGAGTGTAAGTATTATATACCCCAAGTTTTCTTTCTCGACTTAGGTCCTGATTCGTGAATGGGGTTGATCATGATGACTAACTTGGATCAGCCAATAAGTCAATAGAGACAGAAAGGTAAAATAATAGTAATTATATTTAGGTGTATGCTTTGATTGCAAGTTTGGTTGATGATTACATCTCCATCCATCCACTGCTACAATTATGCAGAGCCTCACGCTGTCCACTTTCAACAAAAAAGCATTGTCTATAAACACTATCATTAGATTTAGCACTATAGAATAGTTGCTCCCTAATGCAAGCAAATATCATCTCTACCACCATAACTATGACTTAAGAAATACTGCCAATTTATTCTTCACAAACAAAAATGTTATACAGAGCTACTAGCAGCATCACTAGTAGGTTATCTGATCATAAAATGAGTGCAAGTGTGCCGGTTGAGGTAGGCACAAGGGGAACTGTAGGATCACTTTTGAAGAAGGAGATTGAGTATTTCAGAAGACTCGAGCCGGATTGTAGAGGAAGTTCTAATAACAAATCCCAGAAGAGTACAGTGGAAATAAATTCGGGTGGTAGCAGTTCTTGGCCTACTTTCGGGTTCTTGACAATGAAATGGAGAAAGAAGAAGAGAAGAGGCACTGGTGGTGGATTACCTGCAATGTGTTCTATGGTTGAAGTTTCTGAGAGCTGTAGGATGAATGAAATCCCAGGCTTCAGTTATAGAAATCTTAAGGTTGATTCTAAGAGATTTGAGGAAGAAGTAACACTCTCATAGAAGCTTTTGAATTTTGCAGAGCCTAAATTCTGCCTTGTTCTTTAGCCAAAAATCTTGTGTTCTGATTGCTTGCAAGGCCTAAAGAAAGATTGTGTTAATATCTGTTAACATTTTTTGTTTCTTGTCGAAAGTGAGCAAGAAATGCAACATAAAACATGTTTTGTGCAGACCAAAAGAGACTGGAAGAAATTTGCACCTCTCCCTGGATCAAGAAGAGGAACTTGAACATAGTTGAAAAGTCATATTTGATGATTGTATATGAGGTGAACATTCTCATATTTTAGCCTGCAGCGGAACGAACGTTCTTGTTGTTCATATAGATCTTCATCTTCCATTTCATGGTATTCATTCATGTTATTGATTTATCCTTTGTGATGTTTATGCACATATACTACAAGATGCAATTGGAAACAACATAAACTCTGAGGCCACAGGTCTGTTTATTTTTAATACTAAAAAATTACAAAAGTTCATAGTCTGCAATAACATTAGGGCTATTTCTCTGCTGCCCTGACTATATAAATACTCCTATTTGTTAAATATCAGAGAGGAGATTCATCTTACACTCAATTAGTTCATTAGGTTCTGTTTAGCCCTTGAGATCACAGGTGGATCTAGATCGAATTCAACTGAATCTACTGCTTTCAATTCTAATTCAACTCATACTATATTATATGCAAAAGAATCTTTCAAATGTGGATATGTATAATATCATGTCCATTATGAATAAACTGATTTTAAATTCTGGATTCGCTTCTGCTTGAGAAGAGACAAAATCTTTGCTTCCCTTGCTAGTTACAATCTCTAGCGGGCACTACTCGTTAGTTCTGATGGACTATCATCTTCATCTTTTGATATGATCATATTGTATAAGACTTTTCTCAGTCGAATAAGGAAATTTTATATCATCTTCATATACAAGATTCAGATTATGACAAATTCTTGAAAGATATAATTTGGATCTTCAAAACATTAGGCTTGATTCTTGAGCATCAAAAGCTAAAACACCCACTTAAGTAAGACTATTTAGAATATACTGGACATACTTAGCTGATTTCAACAGTTAAAAAATTCTACAGGAGCTTGACAAGAAACATATCATTATGTTTTCTCAGTAAAATAGGATAATTAACTTTAAATTGTAACTATGCATTAACATTTTTAGGCAATTGAAAATTCTATCTTTCATAAAGATTCTGAAAGTTTCTGTTCCTTTTATTTTAGCCATAGGTGGTAATATATTAGCTTATAGAAAGGATATTAATCCATTCAAAGTATTTTTACCCATTTTAACTATCAAAAACAATTAACGCCATCTATTAAGGCACTTAAAGTAAATGCAATTTGAAATGCACGTATAAAAGAGTATTACTATTATATTTTTCTGGTTAATTTACTGTTAATTTCTGGCGTAGTACATTTTCCAGCAAATAGCATAGTGTTTGTTCAGAAGTCCCATATCACTAAACAGACCAAGAAACAGAGAAGCTACAGCATTATAAAAGGCCAAACGGGCCATAATTCATAGCATACCTTTCTCGGCCTTTTGGCTAAGATCAAGTGTAGTATTTGTTCTTATCAGTTTAATATCTGATATATGGGTCATCGATCCACACGATATTAACTCAATTTTTTCAGGGAAAGAGTCCATTAAAGTAGCTTGCTACTTGGGCTCTTACGCGTCGGCCATGCGTTGCACTATTGCACGGGCCTGGCGCACCCCACCAAAGAAGTATTAAGTTGATTCATTTCGTTGGCCCAAAATTGCCCAAATTTTATTGTTGCTTATTTCTTTCAAAGTATGTTATACTAAGTAAATAATAAGTCCCTAAGACAAATTAATCAAAGATGTTATGATTACTTAATTAGTGCTTGATCCATGTTTATAATAGTTTATTATTTCATTGTGAATTTTCTTGTCATAATATACGTGTTAATTTTGTTAGCTTGGATAACGGTAGTAGCTTTACTGCTCATATTGGTTAATCTTTCTCTCTACGATAAATTGGTATGAGTGAAGCACGAGAATTCTACCCTATAATATATGAGAATTACTTAATTTAATTAGCTATAAGCAAATGGAAAATTATGGTCTATCAAATAGGAGCTTTTTTTTTTTCATAAAATCAAAGAGATCGAAACTTTTTATATTACTTGCTTTGGATCCAAAAATTTAAGATACATATCTCCTATAATTCCATGATTAGTTGTATTTAGACAGACTTAATTCATATTACACCATTTTCCCAATAACATAACAATTCACAAAACTTGGCGATGAAAATTGAGTATTAGGCATACGGCTGGTTTTTGTGGACTTGGAATTTGTGTTTGTCTTTCGTTCTATGCCGGCTTAACAACCATAAAATATCGTACATATATTTGAAAACCATCATTCTTATTTATTTATTTACTTATGTGTTGCACGAATATAATCTATCATATATTTTAGAAACAGAAAATAAAGTTTTGCATGTTCAACTGAACCCTTGGTTTTTAAATCATAAATTGATTTTAGATTAAAAGTTAGCTACTTAATTTAGCAAATGTTTAAAATCTTACTAATCTACCTCCCCTTTTTCCAAATTCTTATTCAAGAAGATAAATCCATTCATTCTTTTATGGCTAAACCAATCTAGAAAACACGTTTTGATATTTTTTCCCGAAAAGGACATTATTATAACCTCTAACAGAACAGCAATAAGTATGACGATGACAATCGCATATTTCATTGATAAGCACAGTAAAAGTGGTCAAAGTTCTTAATCTTTTAAGAAGGCAAACACAAAGAGAAGGGAAATGGATAGCAACTGGAAACTATATCATAGAGGTACATCTCTATGAGGAATTAAATCAAACAATTGTGTACCTGCCCTATAGCCCCACATTTCAAATACAACTTTTATCAAAATATCCAGTATGTGCGAATTTAGTTCTACCCAATCCTAATTTTTTTTATATAGAGCTTTACCTCCGTTGAACAGAATTAGTAACATAATCTTTGTTTTGACAAGGTAAGGATTATTAGTAGCATATGTTGGGAAGAAGAAACCATATCCTAATTCTAACACTAGATTTACTTAGAGATAGAGAAGAAGGGTGAAGAAGTGGTGTGATGTGCATATTATGTCTTAATCTTTGTTTTGACAAGGTAAGGATTATTAGTAGCATATGTTGGGAAGAAGAAACCATATCCTAATTCTAACACTAGATTTACTTAGAGATAGAGAAGAAGGGTGAAGAAGTGGTGTGATGTGCATATTATGTCTTTAGAATATAGGGGGACATAATTAATGGGTTAGGGGACATAAGTTAATGGACATGAGGGGACATAAATTAATGGGATTAGTAAGAGAATTATAATATAAGGAGACATAAGTTAGTGAGTTAGTGTGAGAGGAATAAATATATATGTCAAGTGTATAATATATACATGTATAAAGCAAGCAATGAAAACAACACGAGAGATTTTTTCAATCAAATTTCTCCTTCAATTTCGTACATGGTATCAGAGCAATAAGCTCGATCCAGTCCAACCATCAAATCCATTTACATTAGATTCATCATCATAATCAGTAACCTAAAATGCCTGAAACAACCATCACGCCTACTGGTGATATGAGCAATGCTGTAAAACCAGTCAGCTATGATGTCAATCACCCTTATCATCTCAACAACTCTGATTCACCTGGAATGACTCTAGTCAATACTGTGTTTAATGGAAGAGGATACCCGGGGTGGAGGAGATCTATTCTCCTCTCTTTGTTAGCCAAGAAAAAACTTGGTTTCTTCAATGGAGCATGTCAATCTCCAGACCACGAACAATGGAGTTGTGTGAATGACATGGTCATCTCTTGGATCCTAAATGCTCTCTCAAAGGATATTGCAGACAGTGTGATATACTCCAAAATTGTAAAAGAACTTTGGGACAGCTTGGAGTAGAGATTTGGGAGATCAAATGGAGCCAAGATTTATCATCTGCAGAAGGAGTTATCAAGTTTAGTACAGGGAAACAATGACATTGCAGCATACTTCACTAAGCTCAAACGACGGTGGGATGAATTAGATGCTTTAAATGTTATCATATGTCGTTCATGTATTTGTGTTTTTGAAGGAAAGGTAAAGTTGACTAAGTCTTTTGAGGTTCAGAGATTGATCCAATTTCTAATGGGATTAAATGACATCTATGCACAAGCAAGAGGAAATATCCTCATGATGAACCCTTTGCCTAGCATAGATGTTGCTTATTCACTTCTCTTGCAAGATGAAAACCAAAGAGAAGTTTATGCAAATGCACATTTTAATTCTGAATCAGTATCATTCATGGCAGCTAGAGAGGCCAAGCAGCCTAATGCACAACTTCTAACTGATTTTGCAGCTTTTATGATCACGGGACAAGGGAAGAATTATCAAAAACTTAGAAGGCCAACACAAAGATGAGCAGGCATATCACCCAAATATAACAACTCAGGGCAAAAGTTTGTGAAACTTCAGCAAAGTTTTAAAGGGAAAAAGAAGTACAATCCAAATGTGTTTTGTACTTATTGTGGAAAAACAGGACATACACAAGAGGTCTACTATAGAATTATTGGATTTTCAGAAGATTTTGAGTTCACCAATCACAAAGGTTATCAGACTCAAATTAAAGGAAATGCAGTCCTAACACATGAGAAACATTAGAATTCAGCAGGATAAAGCACTGAGCTCAACAACAGTAATTTTGGACAGCAACTCAGCAAGGAACAGATTGCAAAAATGACACACATGTATAAGCAGGCAAAGTTAGCACAAGCAGAAAATACATGAATCAATACTAATGCAGTTGCTGATACTATTCTAAAATACTCAGGGTTAGTGTTTACTAGTCTAAAATCAGACACCTGGATCATTGATTCAGGTGCCTCAGAGCATGTGTTTTGATCCTAATTCTTTTCTGTTTCTAACTCCACTTCCTGTACCTTTGAATATCAGTTTACCTAACTCTTTCAAGGTGATTGTTACTCATATAGGGAGTATTTCTATTCTGCCAGGTCATATCCTGAATAATGTGTTATATGTTCCAGATTTCAAATATAACTTATTATCAGTTAATAGGTTTTGTGTTCAGTTCAAGTATGATGTCCTATTCATATTTATTGGGTGTGTGTTGCAGGGCCTTTTAATGAAGAGTCCACAAGTTTTTGGTGAAGTTAAAGAGGGACTCTACTTATTGAAACCATGTAGCCTTAAGTCTAAGGGGATATTCAGTAGTAATGTACCTTCAATTCCAAAAGAAAGAAACGTCATTACAGAGTCTGTTTCTTTTTCTTGTCAAGTTCA